GATGCATCCAAACAGGCCAATAATTAGTTCAAATAAAATTTGTTCAATTATATTCATACTTAAACTTTATTACTTCAAGCCGAATTAAGTCTTGAGGTCGTGTTTTTACAGAATAATTTTAAATTACCATATTATATGTTTTGGATGGTAAAAAAATATTTTAACATACTCTAAAGTTTTAATAAATAATTTTTATATTAAACAAAAAATTAAATGATTTATTTTTAAAAAGAATTTAAAAATTTCTTTATCATGCTTAATGTTTTATATTTATCTTATAACTCTTCTTATACTTAGTTTTTACTTTAAACATTCTTTATTATTAATTTTATATTTTCTAATATTTTAAAATTCTTCTTCCAATGCAATATTATTGCTTATGGAATTTTCAATCAATAGGTTTTGTTATCTAACAAGAATGTTAGTCGGTGGCAACATGTATTAGTTATAGTTAATAAGAATGTTAGTTGACGAAAATTCTAGTAAAGAAAACGGTTAACTTCAAGACTCAACACTTACAAATAAATCAATCACATTGAATAAGTCGAAATATGCCTAAAATAGTTAAGAAAATTTAGAAAGTGTTTGAGTTTCTTTTTAAAAATGGTTTTTAGTTTTTTAAAATAAAATATAGTATAAATTTGTATTACATTTTATTTTAAAAACCTAAAAACTATTTTTAAAAAAGGAATCAAACATACTTTCAAGCAATTGGAGAACATTCAGTAGGTGTTTTTCTAAAATACTTTAGTCATTTATGAACATAAAATCATGTACTTTAAAGGTAAAATTAAGGATAAAGAAGTAATATTTTTACTGTATGTATTACACCCCAGTTCTTCCTTATCATTTAATTTCTTAGAGATTATATGTGCAAATTGTTTTTCTCGCTTTTCTATGAATGTTGAATCATTCCTTTTAAAATTAGCATAAAAGATCCTTATGAACATATTCTTTTGAAAATTAGCATAAAAGATCCATATGATCATATTTCTATCATTTAGACTTCATGTGGATGTAGGTAATCTTATCAGCTTTTTTTATCATAAATCTTTCTCTCCAACTGTTTTCTAATTTTATTTTTATGAGAACACAATTTCTTTGTAATCATATTTCTATCATTTAGACATCGTACAAATGTATAGGTCTTCTTTATCAACTAATTTGATGTTAATGTTCATGTTTCTCATCATTTGTGGTAAGGTGTAATTTGACTTAGATTGGTTTGGGTTTAAGTGAAAAATGTCAAAATCGACCATAAGTTTTAAACTTAGTTTGGTTCAACATTTGTGTGATTTTAGCAAACTACTCAAACAAAACCAAACTAAGATTGGGTTAGTTTATCAGACTTTTTTTTTTTAATGGAGAAAAATTAAGAACTGGAACATATAAAAAAAATAGAAAAAATATATAAAAATCCAAGAAAAATATGCCCGCTATTTATGTAGTCTATGTATTATTGACTTGCATAGATGTTGTATGTAAATATGAATTAGGAAATAATTTTGATATTGAAGAACACATTGATTGAGATAAGTCTTTGGGTATTTTTGTATTCAGTTTGAATTAACTTTATCAAGTTTTTAGTATACCCATGTAGCTGCTTACACGCCTAATTTGTAGTCACTATCCAACTATATATGACTTCATATTTTCCACGAGAGTTTAAGAATTTGTACTTCAAAATTTAATTTAAATTAAAAAAAGGGTTAAAATATCATTGTGTGATAGAGTAAAGTAATAATATTTTCAATAAAATTTGTGAATAATAAAATATAATATAAAACATTTGAATCATTGAAACTTCAAAGCCAACAATTATTAGAATCCATTCAAATTCTTCTCCTTCCGTGTTAATGGCTTCTTCTCTTTTCCTCTTTTATTCCCTCGGAATGAATGTGGTCACATTTGATGCTCTTCCCTTTTCAAAAAAAGAAGAAAAACTACATACATGACGTGATAATACATTGCAGTCCAATCGACATTTAATGGGCCACTTCATCATTTAACTATACACATCATCACCCTATCACAATGCAAAGGGATAATTCTAATCATTTAATATTTATACTTTTCATATTTTTTATATGATATATCCCCATAAAATTTAGAAATATTATTATAAAAATCATGAATTGGAATATTTAAATACTATAAAAGTCATAAGTGAATTTTTTTAATATTATGTTTTAATACTATTATTTTTTATATTTAAAATTTCATTTGTTTCGTTATAATATTGCCTTACAACTTGTTTAATTGTTAGTAATCACGATTTCATAACGTGTTATGTCATAGACGACAGTAAAAAGGGCAAAATTTTATTTATATGATTATAAAAATCATGAAAAATAAAAAAAACACTATTTATCATGTTTATATATATTTTTTTTATAAAAAAAAGTGTTTTGTGTAAAACATAGTAGCCAGTATTATAGTTATATAATTATTTTTTGAAATAAAAATAATAGGAATCGCATGATAATAATTTTTATTTTATTTTACTTACTATTAAATTATATTATTTGACAATTATTTATGGTTATGGCGATATTAAACTTTTAATATTTCTATTTTTTACGGTATCAGACTATTATATAACTGTTAATGGTATTTTCTTCTTATATTATAATTTTTTTGTAAAATTTGTATTTTATACTATTATATATGTATTTATTAATTTTTTAAGAATATTAGTTTATTATAATTTCTTATTTTTATTGTTTATGTTTTACGGTGGGTGATAATAATTTTTACTATATGTTTAAATATGATTCCATTATTATGTGTAACGTTTGGGTCTCGTTTATTAATTAGGATAAGATAAAATATGTGTAACTTTATTTTATTTTTTCTGAAGATTTGCTTCATTCTATTCTATTTTAAATAATTAAAAATAACAACTAATATCTACATTATTTTATTTTATTGTCAATTTTAAAATAAGTCAGATGATAACAACTAATATCTATATAATTTTACTTCATTTTATTTATTTTTTGTCAAATTCAACTTGTTTTTATGTCTCATTCCTTTAATTTTCTTAAAATATTTAACTTTTGAAGTTTAATATTTTAAAACCTTTTATTGTGATATTTTATATATGACGATTAATATGTAATAAAAATTAAACAATACTTTTTTTATTCTAAAAAAACACATACAAAGCATGAATACAGTGTTCTTGAGTTTAAATTCTAATTATGTAATGATATTAAATACTGAAAGATAATATCTTTTATAATAATTTTATTCAATTGAAACAAAATTATATCTATAAAAATAATACATGATCTAAATGAAAGAAAAAGACGAGTATAATAATTATTTCCTACTAACAACAATTCATACCTGCATATACAACATAAATTACTCGACATCATGATTCTGGGCAGCACCTGAGAGAAAGGTCAAAGTTGCTTCTCAATATTCAACAAAACCACCCTTAGTCACAAGTCAATACATCTAAAATGACAAGGTTTCATTTTGAACAATTTGTATGATTTCGTTTTCACTACATTTTATCTATTAGTCCACTATCACTTGCATTTTTGTCCTTTAGCAATTGTTCATGCAGTTTGCGTCTAGTATAATTTTTTATAAACAAAATAAACTATATTAATGGATATATGATTACAAAACATTAAAATGGGAACATGATATAATGGAAATGGAATAGCCTTTATTTTTAAAACTAAGCAATTTCAAAACATTATTTATTTAAGACAAATGGTATGTGAATCTGACAACGAAGCTCTTATAAGTCCATCCTAAGACAATTATCTTAATCAATTTTAATGATTAAAATTTTTTGTTTTATCTCTTTTAATAAAATAAACTACAAATTTGTTTATTTAATATATTTATAAGTTTAGCCGCCTGTTTTATATCAAAGTTACAAAATATCTAAATTGGTTTGCCAAAAAGATGTTTTGTGAATTTTTCATCAAATGAATACCTATGCACAACACTTTCTTACTAGGATTGAAAATGACGTATTGCTTCACACAATCAATTCTTGGCTCATCCAAATGATATTAAACATATATAAAACGAGACGCCTAAGATTGACTCAAAAAGTCTTTCTTTACTTAATAATAGTGGACCCTTAGACAAGTAAGATTGACTCAAAAAGTCTCTTTGAATCCTTAATTTCGTTTAACTCTTTCTTCCAACCAGTTTATAGGACATGCAATTAGAAAACTAGATATGCCAAGGCATCCTACGATATAGAATGGTGAAGAAGGTAATGTTATAACTAATTTTCATTCACAATTACTAAAGGGCATAGGGCATGGTTTGAAATATAAGATCTTCTTGTAAATAATAGATCCTACACATGTGAACGTGATAAGATCTTACATGAGTGTGTGAAGCTTTTGGATTTACTATTATTAAGTTGGATTTCATTAATTTACATTCTTTAAAGATAAATAAATAAAGGAAACAGAATCTTTTCAAATTAATATAAGTTTAAAATTTCTTATATTTGATCTGAATCTTTTATTTAACTTACATCTAATATATTATAATTTATTACTTTACTTTATAAATTAAATAAAAAACTTAATTCAAGTGTAAGAATTTTTATATTTATACTAGTGTAAAAGATTTTTTTTGTGGACAAATAAATAAGCTTTTTTTTCAAATTTCATTTTTATTTGACTTTCTTTTTACTTCATTTTTAAATATTTTATTTATTTCCAATTCATATTTCTATTAGTCAATTTTATTAATTTATTTTTCTTAATTTTAGTTTTACATTTTTCTCCCAATCGGAAAAATAAAAATAAAAAGCAAATGAAATCTGAAAATAAAAAAATCAGAAAATAATATTTGGAAAAAATAATGATGATGGCTACGCTGCGGGCACCACATGTACCCGTGGCTCTTCAACTTGGCCTGAACAGCTAGCTCTCTGCATCTACTTGCAATGCAATGAATTGACAGAGTGGGCGTTAGAGAAACTACAAAAAGCGAGTTAAGCCCAAAGAAGAGACACACACAGATTCAGCAGACAAAAGGGAAATAAAATTTCAGAGCCTCTTCTGAAACCAAAATTTGAAAGAGAAATTCAAAGAAGAGAAAGTGGGCATCAAATTGAAGCATTCTCTCATTGCTAAATCAAGTAAAATTTCCTTTTATCTCAAACCATCCCTATTGTATATATGCCAATTCTAAATGTTGTATCCTTATTATGTTCTTAATAGTGCATTCTGCTAAATTACAAATCAATTCATCCATAAACATACACACACACTCTGTAAGAGGAACCTTTTACGTGTCATAAAGATACGTAATTACGTTGATCTTTGTATATGATTTTAGATCCTCCTTGTACCTTGTTAATTATTTTGCTCAACACAGTCAGAAAACCAGAACTAGGAACACAAACCATCGAAATATAATGGTCAAATTATGAGTTCAAGCTTTAAAAGATAAGAAAAATATTATAAAAGCTTGTTGTGAACAGGAAACAGAAAGTGAAAAGGGCGAAATGGATAGGTGATGTAACATAAAGTAATGAAACAAAATAAAATGAAATTTATTATTATAAAAATTATTATAAAAGCGGAAAAGATAAATTAGATAATGTGTATGAACCAAATTATAAGAACGTAATTTCTCTCGTGCTCTATAATAACATAAATATCTCTTAATTTTTAAAATATTAAAGAAACTACAATTGTTAATTTAAAAAATACATATAATATCTTTTTAAATTTTATAAATCCATAATAAATACCTTATAAGCATTGGTACCGATAAACGTGGAGAAACTCTTCTATCATTTTAACTCAATATTTTTAATAAAAAATTATATATAATTTTAATTAAATAACATTTAATAAAAATTATGTAAATTTTATTCACTTTTAATTTAAAGATTTATATTTTTATCATCTTTAATAAATTTAAATTAATAATTAAAAATATAATAAAAAATACGTTAAAACTTATCTTCTTAACACCTTATATTTTAATCGGTGAAACCGGTGAGTTATTACCTGTCATGTTAACTTTTTTGGTAACAAATAGTATGATTTTTTCTATAAATTTTCGTGTGAAAACGATAAATTTCCAGTTTTTATAAAAATTATTTTTAAACTAATCTTCATCATTTATTAAATATAAAATAGTATTTAAATATTGTAAAATTAAAATAATATTAAATAATCCATAAATCGTTTTTCTTTTATTAAAATTAGATCGTGATATTAGACCAACCACATTAATTCTCATAATGTACCTTTGCCATCCGTCCCATCAACCACTCCAAATCGAGAGACAAGTTTATAAATATTTTATAAATTATTTTAGTTTATATTAATAATTTTAAATATATTTTATTAAAATAATTTATTTCTAATTTATTCAATAAATGTTATCATCAATATCCGAATATAACTCATGTTTTAAAAGTAATTTATTTAATAAAACTTAATAAGTTATATACCTAAATACATTCTAAAACAAGTTGCTCTCGTGTTGTTTAATTTATTTTGAATTTAATAAAAAATTATATAAAAATTTTCAAGACGCTCTTTACATAATAACTGAGTGGGCCCACATAGTTTTGATGACTTAATAAGACAAGAACAAGAAAAAAAAAAAAAGGGCCTAGTGGGTGGCCTTGATGACTCAAAATCGGGCCAGCATTTGCAATTTAAGCCTCAAAGAACATCGTGGATTTACATAAAAAATAATACACATTGAAATTTTTATAAAATATAAATCTAAAGTAAAAATATAATTAATAATGTTGAAATAAATATAAATTTATACTCATTCAAACATAAAATTGAACATCTATTAAGTATAGGTAGTTATCTTAAAATTATGTACAATGTGTTTTTCTAAATAAATCTCTTTTTAAAATTAATTTAGGTTTTGTTGATAAATTTGTATAAAAATAAATCCACGTGCGGACTTACAATATTGATGCATAATTTTAAGTAATCTTCAAATGATATACCACTTTAAAAGTACATGTAATCACACTTGTGGTTCGACATTGCAAGGTACAAATATAATTTTTATATATAATCGACCCCAAAATTCAAAATCAAAGATCATATTTTAAAAATTAAGGTTATCCTCTAATAAACTTCATGATGACTATCTTATTTTATTTTTTAAACTTAAATTTTTTTTCACTTATCATCTTTACATAGGTTATGATATTTATAAATATTTATTTATTAATAGGTGATTGATTTAAGTAACACATTATTTGTTTTTTCTTTAAGAAAGATTTTAAATTTAAATTTTGTGAAAAGAAAATTGTATTTGAGTTTTCTTATTTTGGGAGATTTTTTCTCTTCCACTCTCTCACACTGTTTTATGATTAAGATTTTTACTTTTTTAAAAAATTAATTTTTCAAGTAAAATTTTTTTAAAAAATAAAAATATTAATTTTTAAATTAATAATTTTTAGAGAGAAAAAATATTTAATTTTTTGAAAAAAATAAAAAAATAAAAAAATATGAATAAAAAATACATGAGACAATAATATCATTTATATGATTAATATATTTTCTTCTCAATATTAAACATTTAAATAAAGAAGGGGTCTAATATCTTTTTTTCTCTTTTTTTTTTCTTCCAAATTTTTTTTTTCAAACTCTCAAATAAAGCTTAAGATTCTAAAAAACTTTAAAAAATAAATAATTGTTTTTAAGAATTAATTCCTAGCCAAACATGCTTTAACTTTTTTTTTATCTTTTTCTTTTAAGAAAAAGTTACAAAGTAAAGCATCATACTGGTGAGAGACATTAGTTAACACACCCATCCTCTAATGAATTTCATTTTTGTCCTTTGCATCTCACATTCCAAATACAAACCACTTATGAGAGCATTTATATTTGGCAGTTTGTTTCCATGTATGGCCAACCCAGCAACAAATGAAAGGGCAAAGACATATAGTGGCCATTTGCAGTATGTAATAAGCTTTTAGTTGCTTACACTTCTTTTGATTGAAACAGAACTGTCTCCCTTTATTCATACCATGCATGACCTAAATCTAGCCTCTAGTATAATCCACACACAACTTGTGTTTCGAATTGACACCACTTCACTTACTCAAACCACCCAAGAACATGTGCCACCCCCTTTTTTTCCAGTGAGTTTTATGATAGAGCAAGATTTCTGAGTAGATATTTAAGAAAGCAAGCATCTACATTATCAATTTAAATCGCTTAATCAGTGTCATGTGTAGGTTCAAGTTCTATTTTAACTTTTATTTTACAATTCAAATAAAAAAATAAAATTTTCTTTTTTACTTGACCTAATCAAAATTCAAAGTCTATAATCAAAAAATTAACAACTAGGCATTTTAAAAAGAGTGTGGCTCAAAATTTTTGTCAAAACCCCTTCTATGGAGTAATGGAGTAAAAAATACCTCAAATTGTTGAAAAATTGAATAAGGGGTCCATAATCCATTATTGTGAGATGTTAAATAATTTATTCCCCACATTTTTACCAAACATAGATCACCATCCGTTAACATCCAATTGACATAAATAGGGAAAAAAAATTCTCAACTATACAATTTACAAGTTCAATGTTCAAATGCCCTGCAAACAAACTGAAAACAGGGTGGGGGGGGGGGGGGGGAGGGGGGGTGTTTTAAAGTATCACACAATGCAAGTGAAATGCAATCCAAGTGTCAAATGTTGAACAGAGCTTTCTTTTCTTCCTTTTAAATTATTTAATCTTCTTTTTGTGTTCAGACAAAATTGAGTGCTATTACACACTGTCACACTTGGCACTCACTTTATCATTGATAGGTTATTTCAAGATATTTACCACTTAACATGTGAGTTCATACTTTATTGCGTTAACGTACTCAAAATTTTGGTCTTGCATGCACAAAGTATGCAATCTTTTTGTTTTTCTATTTTCTTAACTATTCTTCTCTTCTTTTTATGTTTGGACAAAATTTGAGTGCTAATATAGAATGTTACACACTTAACACCCACATCAAAGCTTTACCATTTGTTAGATTGTTTTAAGAATTAACACTTCATAACAAAGTAACATTGTTACAGATTTTATCAAACCTACATAGCCACCCATAGATTGGCAATTGGCAAAAGCATTTAATGCTTATATTTCACTGGCCGGGCGGTTTTAAGATAATTGCCTTGTGATATTATAGGATTTCGCCACCTAACATTAACATTAACAAATATTCAAATTATCACAGGATAAGATTTAATTATACGATTTTATTAATTTATCTTTAATGACACATGACTGTAATACATATATAGTAAGTTGATATTAAAAATTGTAATATATTGTAAAATTTAATATATTAATAATATTAAATGTTATAAATCCAAAAAAAATTATTATTTATCAACTTTTTATTCTTCTTAGATATGTATCATAAACATCATTAGTTATATTTTTTTTTGAAAGAATCTGAGATTAAGATAAGAGAAATTTTTATATGATTGTAGTCCTGATCAATCAGTACTTGACACATGTTAAAATTGTTTACGTGTTAAGTGTTAATTGGTCAAAACTATTATTGTCTCAATAATATAAAATTTTTCATTAACAAAATTTAATAGATTGACCCAAAATAACTAAAATTTAATTTAAACTTAAAATAATATGTAAGTTTAATATTTTCTTTCAGACTTAGCCTGTATTGAACGTAATTAAATTGGATTAAAAAGTTCAAATTTAATTTAAAACTTTACATTTATAGGTTTAGACTGTCCATTTTCCTAATTTAAAAAATAAGAATAAAATATAATTAAAATATATATACTTACACGGTGACAGTTATATCTACTGCTGAAAAGTTATGATGGAGTTTTCTAATTTTTTTTTTCTGTCTCCAAATATAAAACATCTGATACAATATATAACCAAATATGCCCTTAATATTTCGTGTGTACCACAGCTGAATAAATTAAGCTAAATTAAGGGGATTATTTTATCTCTCCGTCCTACTTGCATCTAAAAGTTAAGATTTATTCGTTAAAACATTCACATGCCCTAATGTGTATACTTTCCAACCCACTAAGGGGAAGAAGAAGAATCCAGTCACTATTTTATAATTTAGTATTGGAGTGACGAATCTAGGCTTTTTATACACAGCATGAATAATAGAGATAATAATTAATATTGGTGTCATTCAAATGGGAAAATTGAACAATCTGTCGCTATCATGTGAATATGAAATTAATAAAGAATCATGTGGATCAATAGAACAACATGTGTTTAAGAGGAATTGGCATAAACAAGAAAAGCACCTTCTATGTTGCCAATTAACATAAGATACGAAAAAATTGCTTGTGATTTTCTATATTCAATGCTGCCAGTCACTGAAGCTGACATTTTGAATCTCTATTAAAGGTCGAAAATTTAATGTTAGAGCATGAAAGCTCTAGAGCTTTGATTGTTCACCCATATTTTAATGGGCAATAATAGTTCCTTTTTACATATTAACGATTGATTGTTGAATTTATCTTCGTCAATAAAAACATTGTATTATAAAAAATAAATCATTAATATCAAATATTATATATGTATCTACATTAATATAAGCATATCATGTGATATAACTTAGACTTATAATATATACAGAAACAGTTTCGTTTTTATTAGATAAAATCTACACCAATATCAATAAATCATTCGTATGTATGAACTTTTCTTTTTAGTAATACAAGACTATGATTTTGTTATTTTATTATAAAACTTTCCATGATTATAGACTACCCTTCCTGGATTTTTGGTCCAAAGTAAGGGTATCAAATTAGAAGCTGAAACCGGCACTTCCCCAACTTTGGCTAAAATAATTCCTTACAATAAATATAGAAAAGCTTATGCAACCTCTACTGGAAGAAGCTATGGACTCTACATATAGGTGGAGAAGAGTGCGGTCGTGTCATTGCTTTATTGAATAAATTTCAATCTTTTCAAGAAATGAGATTAGCTAGGTGTAATTATAATTAAAATTTGATAATAAAAGTATTAATTAATTTTAGTTTAATGAATAACGTTTGTTTTTACTTAACTTTTTATGGTTGTTAATTTGTGTCTTTAAGGGGTGTGTGTGTGTATATATATATATTCTTAGTGTTTGTTTAATATTTATCTTTTACATTCTTTTGTACCGTAACAAAGAGAAAAAATTGAATTTCTCTTCCTTTTCACCATAAATCAAGAGTAAAGAGATCCGCACAGAAATTGATTGTGAAAAAACAAAGCTGTATTATTATTAGTAGTAGTATTAGTATTATTATTATGTTAATGTCTGGTGGTAAATACCTTGATGTCATGTAATAATTATTTTCAAATTAATTAGTTCATGATAAATTAATGTCACGTGTTGTGAGTGCAAGTATGTGTATGAAGAGTATTACAAACATAAGGTAGTGGTATACACATGATTTAAATAAAAAAATATGCTTGGTCTCTAATTAATTTGACTAATGCCGAAGGAGAAAAAAATGAATAAATTTAATTATTTCCCTTTATTCTGATTGGAAGCTGTAAGCCTGTAACTGAAGTTGCCGTTTATGGGATTTTATTCTACAGGGTGCACTTATATAATAGAGGGTCACCTTTCACGATTTGGTATGAACTATGAAGTTTTCTTCAGTAGTTTTCAGCTGAGGATGCTCCAATTCTCCTCCACCACTTTCTTAAATAGTTTGGAAACATGTTAAGATTGCACTAAAATAAACGTGAATCTATACACGTTCTAAAATCACTCTTAATCGCAATCTCCAAAAGGACTCTTACAAAAAGTTGATAGCTTTTCATGATAATTCCAATTCAGCGACAGCAAATAGATGTGAGCTTCAGTTATAGCACAGCCCATTAAAGAATTTTCTTGTTAAGGTAAGATCTTTCTTATTAATATTCATTTAACTCAAAATTTCTTACGTATGCTTTATCTATTTTCCATTCTTAGGCACTATGGGTCGTTTTAGTTTACTTAGAAGAGTATACAGACTTGTTTTTTTATCAAAGTTGGTGAAGCATTTACTTTATTTTTCATTGCAAAGTTGTACGTAGATTTCATGTGATTTTGATATAGTTTACTAAAAAATTTTATCAGTCTGATTGGTATTTTGCTCAACGTTCACTAGGTCAGTGTTTTTTGTTAAAGGAAAACCTCAGTATTGTATATATTGGGCTTACGTATACAGTATAGACACCTGATAAGTTTATGGGTACCATAAAAAAAAAAACTTAGTACGCTGTTCGAGTACGTGCCAATTTTTCTTTAAAAATATTTAGTAGTTGATTTGCGAGTTTGTTAATTTTTTATACTTAAAGTTGTTTTGATAATTTACAGATATTTATTACTTTTATGTTTTATGCTGTGCTTTGAAACATACATATTTTTATACTTTTTTATTTTTTATTATATTAAACTCTAATTACATACTCACAAACACATTATAATAATACTTGTATTTGTATAACTTAATTGAGCTATAAGCTTAAAACATAGATGCTGGAAAGTGTCTTTAAGCTTTGTTTAAATGTTTAAAGAAAAAAAAATTAACTAAAAAAGATAAAAAGAAAAGAGAAATTAAACTTTCTCCTTTTTAAAATGTTTAATATCGAGATGTAATGGAGAGTTTAATAATAAATAAAATTATTATTTTTTATTTTTATTTTTATTTTTATTTTTTTAAAATATAAAAAAAATAAATTTTTTCTCTCTAAAAATTAATATTTTTAAAATAAATATTTTTATTTTTATAACTTTTTAAAAAATTTATTTTAAAATTAATATATTAAAAAAAAAGAATTCTAATCTTGCAAGAGAGAGTTAAAGAGAGAAAAACTTAAGAGAACTCAACAAACTAAAGTTATAAGACTTTTAGAAGGATTAGAAAAATTCCTTAACTCTTTAGTTAACTTTTAAATAGGAGTTAAATTCCATTAACTCTTCTTTTCTTCTTCTAAACATAGCATCCAAAAAATAATCTTAAATGATTATTTTTAATAAGTAAATTTTAACAATTAGATAAAAGTCATAAAGAAATAAAATATGTAAGAACATATTTAAGACAAGTTAATTTAATAATTTACGTCCTATCTCAACTATAATGATGTTAAGGATATTGATTTTCAACACTTTTTTTTTCTATTTATATTTTTCTTTTCCCTATTTCATACCTTTCTGTGAAGTGCAAAATGAATATTATTGTTATTTATATATAGTTTCCGGTGATAAGTACCTTGATATCATGTTGTATTTATTTCTAGATTACTTATTAAATGATAAAGTGGTGTGACGTGACAACGTTGGAAGTGTATGTGTGTGAGTAGCACTTTCGATTAAAAGGTAGTGGCATATTTCCTAGATTTAATAAAAATATTTGTCGGCATCAAAGAAATATCTAGAGCCTTTAATTTGATAGCATAAGGAAATAAAAAAATTGAAGAACTTTTCATTGTGTCCCATAATTCTGATTGGAAGCTATTACTGAAGTTGCCATTTATAAATTCTATACACTCCAGTGTGTATATATAAGAGGATCACATTTCACCAAGTGGTGTGAATTAGTGTCTTGAATTGTCTTCAGCTCTGAGGATGCTGCAATTTTCTTCCATCATTTTCCTAACAAATTAAAATGTTCTGAACCCAATTCAGAAAAAGACTCTTAGAAAAAGTTCATAGCTCTTTTTTCATGGAGCCTCCAAGTTAGTAGTAGCCTATGAAAATTTTTGCTTTTTAAGGTAAGAAGAATAAGATGTAAAATGTGTGATAAATGTTTTATGACATCTTTGCTTCCAATTTGCACAATACGTACTAGTTACGTATGCTTTGACTGTTTTCCAATTCTGGGTTTCATGGTCATGGGTCCTTTTAGTTCACTTAGAAAGACCATATAAACTTGCTTTTCTGAAAAAAAAAGTGATTGAACCGTCCACTTATATTTTTCATGCCTTTTGAGAGTTTAATAAAATTTATCATTTTACTCCCATTTTTTGCAAGTTGATTTTTGATTGATTTTAACACTTCATGTAATTTATGTAGCTTACCTCTTTTCAAGAATCTATGGCATGCACTTTCGTTCAACGTTCACTGTATTAGTGCTCCATCAAATGGTTCATACACATTCTAGGCACCCATTGGCTATAGATGAATAGCAAAAAAAACAAATAGTACACAGTTTTTTGGGGGGGTCAAATAGTACACAGCTTGTGTACCGAAGATATGTACTATTTTTGTTAATAAAAAGCTGATATGCTGCTATGGTACATCTTTGATGCGGTTATGTACTTATAGATACACCTTGGATACCAATTGGGTTATTTTTCCCACATTAAGGTAACAAGATGGTGATGATAGGAGGGTGATTATTAGTAGTGTTATGATTCCTCTATTATTGGTATTGCTTGGTTTGTTAGTTGGCTAACCAGATTTTTTCTTTTGTGATTTGTCTTTTTTTTCTTTATTTCAATTGATTTATGAGCTTGTTAATTTCTGTTACTCCAATTGTTTTTACCATTATAGATATTTTACTCCTTTTATGTTTTATGCTATGCTTTGGAATCATACGTTATTATCTTTTATATATTGTTCTCATGTTTTATAATATCAAATTCTAATTTCTTGATTTTTTTTTTAAATTATATATATGGGTAGTTGAGTTCTGTCAAATACCATGAACATGTATACACCACCTGCTTGATCATTACTCTCTATTAATAATGATTCACTTAATTTATGTTTTAAAGTAGTAGATTGAATAAGAAATTGGGTCTTGGGTTGGATTTTCATGCATTCTTACTAACCAATTGGCTTTCTTGTTCAGGAAATTTCATTCTACCAGGCTCAATTCCATTGTGTTATTATTGTTAATGACATAGAGGTGGAGATTTTAGTCTTTGATTTGGAATTTGGAACTGATTGCTGCTTGTCCAGCCACAAAAATGGCTCTGGCTCCGATTTCAAAAGTTGTTCTAGGCTCTGTTGCTTTTGCAATCTTCTGGGTACTAGCAGTTTTTCCTGCTGTTCCTTTTTTACCAATTGGGAGAACTGCAGGGTCCTTGCTAGGTGCAATGCTTATGGTCATATTCCGAGTTCTTAGTCCAGATCAAGCTTATGCTGCAATTGATCTACCAATTCTTGGTCTTCTTTTTGGAACAATGGTTGTCACTGTTTTTCTTGAAAGAGCAAATATGTTCAAGTACTTAGGGAAATTGCTCTCTTGGAAGAGTAGAGGAGCAAAGGACTTGCTTTGTAGAATCTGTTTTATTTCAGCTGTGTCAAGTGCTTTTTTCACCAATGACACTTCTTGTGTTGTTTTAACTGAATTTGTGTTGAAAATTGCAAGGCAACATAACCTCCCACCCTACCCTTTTCTTTTAGCACTTGCTTCAAGTGCTAACATTGGGTCCTCAGCTACTCCAATTGGGAACCCTCAGAATTTGGTTATAGCTATTCAAGGTAAAATATCATTTGGAAGTTTTTTAACTGGTATTCTTCCAGCCATGCTTGTAGGAGTTGTAGTGAATGCTATATTTCTTATAGCGATGTATTGGAGGGTATTAACTATTCAAAAGGATGAAGAGAATCCAGTTTCAGAAGTTGCTGAAGAAGAGGTTATTACCCATCAGTTTTCCCCTGCCACGATGTCTCATTTTGCATCCTTTAACTCTCAAGAATGCAATGGTTCTTCCGAATCTACTAATAATATTCAAAACACTTGTCAAGTTCATGTTGGGAGAAACCAATCAAATCCAAGTGCAAGTGAAGTTCAGATGGTTCTTAGTAGCACAAAGGATTCCACTACAAACCCAAATGAAACAAAGGAGGGGACAAATGATAAAAAGGAGGAAACTAACCCTTCAAGAACTGTTGCAATAGTTGTAGATAAACCAATAGAAGCACATGATTTGCACTCTTCAGAAGGAAAGGACTATATGAACGTAAAATGGAAAAGGATGTTGTGGAAATTTTGTGTTTATGCAATCACATTACTAATGTTGGTTGCAATGCTTATTGGTTTAAATATGGCATGGACTGCAATTGCAGCTGCAATAACTTTGGTGGTTCTTGATTTCAAAGATGCAGGGCCATGTTTAGAGAAGGTAAAACCTATAAACATAACCTCTTGTTAAAAATCTTATATTTCTTCCCCTTGAAACACTACCTATGGTTATATTCTTGTGCCAGCTTAACTTTGAGCATTCTCTTACAGAGTGTCTTTTGTTCTTGGAACAGGTCTCATATTCACTTTTGATATTCTTCTGTGGAATGTTTATCACAGTAGATGGCTTCAAGAAAACTGGAATTCCAAGTGCTCTGTGGGACATAATGGAGCCTTATTCAAGGGTAGATCATGCTAGTGGAATAGCTATACTTGCTATAGTTATACTTGTCCTATCAAATTTTGCTTCAAATGTACCAACGGGTAAATGGATGATCATCCTACCAAAATAATTATCTTTTTCTTGCACCATCTTTGCTTATATGCCCTGTTCCCATCTGCTTTCTGATGGCTTCATGATACTTGAAGTAATAAATTGAAAAAAATTAAAAATAAAAATTCACAAAAAATTTCATATGACAACTTTAGTAAGTTCTTATACGATAAATAGATAGATATTGATTATTACTAAACTATTAAACTAAAACTATAATTAGTTTTTTCAATTTTCGAATAAGAAATCAATAAATAGTAATTTTTTAAGTAAAAAAATGTCTTATTTAATGTTATCAATGCATCATACATGTGATTTTAATAAAAGTTTACTATATTCAGTTAACTTATTATACATCCTTAGACATATATTAGAAAAGTCAAATTATAATTTGCACCATGCATTTGGGTGTACGTATGATGATGTATCACAATCTTTTGTTTAAATTTTCTAGTTCTATTGCTTGGAGGAAGAGTTGCAGCCTCAGCTGCTGCAATTTCCAAAGAAGATGAGAAGAAGGCTTGGCTCATCTTAGCATGGGTGAGCACTATAGCAGGGAATTTTTCACTTTTAGGATCAGCTGCCAACTTGATAGTGTGTGAACAAGCACGTAGATCTCCAAACCATGGATACACATTAACCTTTTGGACTCATCTGAAATTTGGCCTTCCTTCCACTCTTATAGTCGCCGCTATAGGTTTGACACTCATCAAATGATAAGAATTTGTTGAACACCAATGAATCTTATCGTACAAGTTCACACAAGCATAATCAGTTTATTGTAATATATTTTTAGGGTGTGTCACAAAATATATGTAGATGAATAAGTATTTTAGTGCTTTCATCGTTGATCATGCCAAATATGTTAATGACTATAGTAGTTCTGAAAGTTTTTTAGGTATGTTTTGAAATTTCAACTAATAATAAATTGTAGTTTGAGAAACATGTGGAGTCTGGTATACTCCCTTTATTCCATATATTTTCTTGTTTAATGCTTTTCAAATAAATTAATTAATTTTTAATTAATTTTTTTATTAAAAATGTAATAATCTACTCATTCATAAATTTTAATGCGTATCCACGTATTTTCTAATACAAATTTATTATTTATTAATTTTTCAACTAGCACACTAAGAATAATATTGATTAATAAGATCCATATTTATTTAATATATGATTTTGTTATATCTTAGTTAAAATATCTCTATTTATATTAATAGAAGTTGGTCCGAAAGTGACAAGCGACTGATATAGCGTAAGTAAGGTCTTAAGTTCGAGTTCTTGTGTATGCAAAAAAAATTTAGTGATAGACTCACTCACCACATCCAAATGCGCGATCCAAGTCGAATCCAGATTAAACAAGATAGAAAACAAAAAAAATTTATTTATATTTCACCTATTTCATTTATTTATCCTAACTTTTTGCAAACTCACATTACAAATTTGATAGGTAAAAAAAGAAAGTAATAAATGAGAGATATACTTATAATAGTTAGCTAAAGGAATTATTCATAACATTTAAATAAATATATAATTAAAAAATAAATTAATCTTGAATTTAAAAAAAATTGCAACATAAGTAAAAATAGCAAAATATATGGTATGAAGGGAATATTTAATTCCTTAAATTTGATGATAGTTGCGGTTAGTGCATTCACGTGCTATTCCCTTGCTAGTTTTGGGTGCAGTATATAAATATTATTAATATTAAAATATTTTTAATAAAAACTAAAGTTTCATTTTTGTAATTATTTTTAAATTTAATAAAATTGATAATTAAAAAAACTTTATTATTATTATTATTGCATGTTATTCTATAATAAATAGGATTAAATTAAAGAAAAATATTAAATTAAGAAATAAATTATAAAAGAATAAATTTTAAATTATGATTGAATTAAAAAAAAATATCATCATCTTTATTAATATGATGCAAAAAAATATAAAATAGAATAAATTAAGTTTAATTAAAATTACCATAATCTTAATAGTCAATTTATCTAAAAAATTGTATTTACCTTGATATAGTGTATCAATATTTGAAATTAATCAAAATTAAATTAAACAAATAGCACATAATCGTAAGTTAACATTTCCATTTTGTGATTACACAACACAAATTTAGCAATAGGATTTTTTATTTTTATTTTTTTGCTGTTTCCATTATATTAAGACTTAAAACAAATTGTCCCTACCTAACTATGAAAAATCATTAAATTTTATTAGTGTTGGCATGTGTCAATATCATATATCAGGTTTATCTTGTAGTGGCGAGTACACTAAAGAGCCATCCTCATTCCATTTAGGCTTTTTTTTTTTTTTGGTTTATTTTCAATATAAAAGATATGTTATTGCACTAATATAAGATAAGAAAAACATGCTTTAGATCCAAAGTAAAGGAGTTTGTACAAAAAGTACTCTTAGTATAGCAATAGTGCACTTATTTTATGTATGCACTCCCTTTTTTTTTCTTCTCTAGAAACCCCCTCTTTCTCTCTCTTGACACTTTTCCTCATTATTGAGTCATATATTAATAACAATTTTTATTAACTTTTTAAATATTTTTTATTAGTTAAAATTTACCTACAACATATCTACTAAATAAGGTAAATTTCTCTCCTGTTTAAAGAGTCATACTCTCAATTTAGTAAATTTTATATAAATTTTAATTAATAATACAGTACGTCAGAAATAAGAACAAATTACATGTGAGTCAAATTAAAAAATGTCATATATTTATTAAGAATTTTCTTTAAATAAAAAATAAAATAACACAAAAATTAACATGAAAATTATAAAATTAGAGAAGAAATAAAGATCATTATTTAATGATAAAAAAATATTATAAAATTTTTTACAATACTTAAATTTTTCTCTTAATCACTCCGTAGTCTTAATACATACACATTTTCGAAAGTAAATATTTAAACTTCTCACAATACTATATCACAAGAGTATAAAATAAATAAGAAAGATAAATATAAACTAAAAATGTTTATGATAAGTGATATTACGATACATTTTGCATTAATATTAATCAATGTCTATATATTATTATTACACATTTTGCATCAAAATTAACTAATGTATGTGTTTTATTGAGAATTTGCTAATAATAACTTATCTTTTCTTTTTTATAGTGCAGTAATCTCGGAGAATACACTTATATCAAAGATCACTCTTTCCTATATAAGAAAGACATTGTTGACATTGTCATGTGTTATCTTGATAAACTTTGATATTATAATTGGGAGAAATGTTAGGAATACATTAGCTGACATACTCTTTTAATACATTTTTTATTATTAGTTAAAATTTATTAAAAATTAAAAAAATATAAAAAAAATTAATTTCAAAATGAGAAAGAGTGAGATTAACATAATTTTTTTATAATTTTTAATAAATTTTAACTAAAAGGTATATTGCTAGCATTACTTGTAATTATACGTATATTTTCAATTGTGAAATAGGTAGATTCCCAAAAAAAAAAAAACAAGGTAAGTACAATAAACATGCTTAATTGTAAAAAAAAATTAACTAGGACCATTTTAAAAACAATACTCATATTTTTTAAAAAAATTATATAGAAGATCTAATAATGTTGTAACCACCAAATATAATATATCTCACGAATCCTGAGATTCCTGCTACCACTATTAGAGAAAATTTTAGGGTTTGTTTATTTTGGTTTTGGTTTTTAATTTTTAAAAATTATATTTTAAAATAATTAAAAAAAATATTTTTTTAAAAAATGAAAATAAAACTTATGTTAACAAATAAATTTTATTTTATTTTTTTACTTTTAAAAAGAAAAAATGTTTTTAAAAACAAAAAATAAATAATCTCTTAGACTTTTCTTAAAAATTTTCTTCAAATAGAGAAAGAATAACTCTAACATGAAAATGAATGTGAAATTCTGAAAAATGAAGAAAAAACTATGATTGCTATCCAATGGCAACAAAAAAGTAATCCCGTGTAAATTTTTTTACGATGTATAAACTTTTCTCTTAATGATTCTACCATTTTAGTATACATTCCATCATCAAAGTAAATATTTAAATACTTTGCAGTATTATAAAAGAAGAGTATAAAATAAAAGATAGTTGTATATATATAAAGTATTTTTAACTAATGCAACTTAAAAAAATGCACGTGAATTAATATATAATCTTACCTTATCTCTTTCTTTATATGTTTGGGTAATATGAGACTTATTATTAAATATAGTTTTTTTTTTTAGATTATGGCGATTTTTAGTATATATAATTAATTACATAAGAAATTAAGAATATGATTTGTGAAATTGAAAATGATCGATATAGCAAGTAAAACTTCATGAAATTTTAAAGATTGTGATTGTATTTTTAAAAAATGTACTAAAAATGTTTAATTCATGATAGAAGATCCTGTAATATGATATACATGAACAAACGTGAGAAAATTCAAATTACTTGTCACACATTTTAAACAGAAATTCATACAAAACGCACATGCATCGATTTCAAGGGGAATAGAAAATTATGATTAAAAAAAACTAGCAAGAGTTTTTTGTTGGTAATTGCAATGGCAGAGTCACTGAATTTAAATCTAGGAACATGTCCTGCGACCCTACGATGACAAGAAGAGAAACGTGGGACATGGCACGTGCGAGTGTGCCTTGTGGACCCCACGAGCCACCCTTGGATTGTCCAGTGCATCTTCCTTTGCCTTGTTTGATTTGCAAGTTTGCAACCAGCAAGATTAGATGTTATTGCGCTTTGTCTCATTGCCCAATTCTTTATTTCAATTTGCATATACTCAATTCTTGATATTATTCTGTGCTCCTTTTCGCATTCAAACTATTGCTATCATAATAATGTATCCAAGATTAAGTAGAACATGTGCACTCATCCTTGTTTACTGTACCTGCGACGTCCTTGGAAAGTGTCTCTCATCTTCCAACGTTCCAATATTTTTCTTATTTTTTATAAAAATAAATAACTAATTAATTAATATTAATAAAAATAAGATTAACTCTTATTTTAGTTTATAAAATAGTTTGTGCAAATTATTTTAATCTTTAAAATATTAAAAATATAACATTAATCTCTAACTTCTATTTTTATTGAATATTTTAATTTTTAAATTTAGATATTGTTAATAAATATTAATAGAAGTTAAATGGCATGTGTGACAACTAAGTTAACATATATGACATTGTTTTATAATATGAAATAGTAAATTAGGTCAAATAGTACATAATTAAAACTTTTTCTTTTTCTCTTACAATTCACAAAAAAAAATTATTTTTTCTTTAAATCCTAAGATCTAATTTGCAAAATTGTAGCCAATTAGTGCAGAAAAATTTGAAGTTAAAATTTGTTGTACTTACAAGAAAAATTTAATATTATTCTTTTTCTTAATTTTTTTAAGTCTTTTTTTGTCATGAAATTGAATAATAAAACTCTAATTTTTTGGACACCATTAGAGATGAAGACATGCTATTAGGGTTAGGTTTGTTTTCTTTTATTAAATTAATATTGTTTCCTTTCTTCTTCTTTTTTGTGTTAATGTGATTTTTAAAAAATGATTTTTGTTATTTTGTGAGAAAAAATTAATGGTGTTAATGGGAGTAGTCGTCCTACGTCAGTTATGATTTTTTGTTTTGCAAATATATATATAAGGTAGGATCTTTTCATACTAGTGTAAGTTTAAAAACTCTTACACTCAATCTGAACCTTTCATTTAACTTAAATCTAACGGATTATAATTTATTACTTACTAGTCGTTAGATTTAAGTTAAATGAAAGGTTCATATTGGATGTAAGAGATTTTAAACTTAAACTGTAAGAAGATCATTTCCCATATATATATATATATATATATGGTGTGAATGAAAATGGTTCCCTTTTACATGGTTTTACCCCTTCCTCCCCCTGTTATGCTTGCAGTGCTTCC